AAGAGAGAGTTCGGTAAGCATGTTGTGATGTTGTATCAGAAAGTTAACTTTCTGAAGTTGCCAGGTACATAAATCATATATTTTGTTTGGAAGTATTACCATGAGTTGCTGGGTACGGGTGCAGATTATGAGAATAAATTATTTTTTAATACCTTTTAAATAGATTAGTGAAAAGAAATATTTATTATATTAATTTTTAAAAACGAATATGAAACAAACAATAATTTAATTCAAACGGTAATCCACTTTAAGCAAATATTTAATAAGTTAAAAAAAGAGTTTAAATAAAATTTTTCATAATGTACTATAATGCTAAATAATATGAAAAAAAATTTTTAGAATATCTTGATAATACCAAATCTATCACATTTATTGACATTCTTGTAATTTTTTTATTTATAATAACATATTTTAAATTAAAAACTAATGCATTCATTTAGATGTTAAAAATGTATACTTTTCAACACGATAGGAAAGTTACGGATTTGCGGTAGACTTTGTGGCGGATATATATATTTATTTGTGAAAAAGTGACTGACAATTTGTGACGAAATTTTTCAACAATTTTTTTGAGACGGATTTGGCGGGCAGAATTTTTCGTTGCAAATCCCGCCCGCAAGATAAAAGTTATATATAATAAAAAGTGTTATGTTGTAGTTTGTCTCCGTGGCCATGTGGAGAAGGAGTTTTTTTATTTGGTCCGGTGCAAGGACCTAGAGGAAAGGTTCGGTTTTGGGTCCTAAAAAAAGTGGCAAATACCGAGTTTTTTGAAAAAATACCGAGTTTTCAAAGAAAACTGCGGTATTTTGCACTTTTGTACCTATTTTTGGCTAAAACCGAACATTCCTCTACAATCCAAGTGAAGGGACCTTATAAATTGCTTTCGTGTAGAAGGGCCTGTTTTTTTTGGTGGACTGAGTTTTTTCGCGTCATAAATTCACAGCAAATATTTTGGTGTTGAGTTTTTGTTCCTTCAAAAAAATTTTTTACGAACCCCGACTTTTTTGCCGACGGGAAGAAATGCCGACACTTCTTGTGAATGGTCGAGAAGGTCAATCTTGTAAATTCCATTTGTCACCCGAGAATCTAGATGTAGAAGAATTCTATCTCTCTTTTTTTTTTATTCTCAAGTCCTAATATTATTTAATTTTTCAATTAACAAGCTAACAACTTCTTCATTTTCACCCCTTATCAATTTGACATCTAAGCTTGATTAATTTATTGTAGAAAATAACTAAATAAGCAAAACATAATTCATATTACAATAGTCATAATATAGTACACTCTTTTGATTCAAGTCTAAAATAATAATATATATATATTATAATACTCAATACAATGCAAGTTATAAAATAATATATATAATGAAAAAAAAATAAATAAAACTAAAAGTTATGAATTACTACTAAGTCTCAAACCACAAGTTTCCTTACATTTACCAAAAATAAATATAAAATCATATAACGAGCGACAAAACGTTTAGTAAATAACTAAAATCCTACAACCTAATGAAATCAAATACAAATAAAAAATAGAAATAATTGCTGTAAATTTTATATAAAAAAATACTTAAAATAATATATGTTATTTGTATTGTCACTTATATTAATTTGTTAGTCAATTATATATCACATCTGAGTTCATTAATCTTTAGTCCTATGTGAGTAATTATTTAATCAACAATTCTTTCAATTCATTCTTTCTCAAATTAATAAATTAGTTATATATGTAAAGTTAGTTTATATAATATATACAGTATTTCATATTTTCCTTTGTGTATAAGATTTGTCAGATTGAGTATTTTTTGATCTTAATCTCGCTCATGTATTTATAACTCCCAATCAGTCTCTAATTTAATTTCTTAGGAATCCCAATCAGTGAACTCCTTATGATTCCTAAATCATTGAATGCAATGATTAGTTGCCCCACTCTTTAGAACCCCTAATCAGTAATGCAGCTCAATAAGGCTCCCAATCTATGAATCATGTGGAGTCTTGAGGTGGTAATTATGATTATAAATATCTGATGTTAATCAATGCATTACTTTTATCAGATCAGTATCAATTCATGTACAGTCATTTTAAATACATATTAATCAATATTTTAGTACATACACTTTCATAATTTTGTCATATAAATTAATATTCTCCATAACATTACTTTTAAAAACTTATTTAAGTATAACTTTTTTCTATTGCTTTAATATAAAATATTTTTATACACATATTTAATAGATGAACATGTAATAAAATCATATCAAACGTTCATATAATGATCAAATATATTAACATATAAAATTACAATAATGAAAGTTTATGGAAATTACGGAGATAATATATTTTTTGAATTGATTTAGAAAGAAGAAAAATTTATAGAAATTAAAAATGATTAAAAATAAGAGTAAGAATTATAATTACTTATAATAATTTTTGTTTTTTTTTTTTTTTTTTTTTTATTTTTTTTTTTTAGATTAGACACTTTTTTTATAATAGAAGCGACATATAGAAAATCTACGAAGAGCTTCTTCTCTCTTCTTCTCCCTTTCCTCTTACCCCCTTCTCTCTTCTCCCTCGATTCCTTCCTACCCAAGCTCAAACTGTGAGTGAGTGGTGTGTGGTGCGGGGGGGGGGGGGGGGGGGGGGGGGGGGGGGGGGGGGAGGGGGGGGGGAACGGGGGGTGCGAAATGACATGATATTTATATTAAAATATATAAAACAACATCTTAGTGCCGGCCATCGCGACACTTTTTGATCCGGCACTATAGTGTCGCTTTGCATAATGGTTAGAGCACATGAGGTAATGTTACAACAGTGATTTCTAGCTCGGTTATGCTCACAAGCATAGTGCCACAGTGCTACCAAGAACAATGTTGAAGCGCTACAATTCAAATAGAAATTAAAAAAAAATTTCTTTTAAAATACTTTTTTTATATTTTGAATTGTTACGCATCTTCACCAGTCTTCCTACACTATAGAGTCATTCAAGATTCTTCCACTTTAGTGATTCGTTGTAATGTCAAAACATGCTTAGGTTTTCCTTATCCATATCTTCATAAAATTTTTTACTTTAACCACATCTATGGACCTAACTCTAAGAGAAACAGTGATTGGGTCATAAAATTAAAGATATAATAAGATATAAAAATAATATTAAAATTATGATATAAACAATTAGAGTAATATGAACATCTTAGAATCTTAGGTTACTTATGTAATAAAAAATGTTGAGAATTATTTACTAGTATGCATGTAGATTTGAAGAAATGTGATTTGAGTTAAATTAAAATAATCATGTCAATTGTAAAAAATTAAGTGATATTACAAAATAATCAATATTATCAAAATAAAGCTAAATATACCATTATGCCATATCATTATTTCTTCTTCAATTAGGGATATGTATGCAGGAGCTGTTACTTTTGTTCAAACACAAAGTGCTTTGACCAAGTATTTTCCTATTTTAGTTGGATTACATCAAGGTTCAGCCTTATGCCCTTATCTTTTTAGCTTTAGTCGTTGATGTTCTCACTAGACATTTGCAAGAGGTTGTACCTTGGTGTTTGCTTTTTGCTGATGACATTCTTCTAGTTGATATGACTAGAGAGGAATTGAATGTAAACTCGAATTATGTAGGTCAACCTTGGATTCTAAGGGTTTTCGTTTGAGTAGATTTAAAATCAAATACATGAAGTGTAATTTTAGTAGTAATAGATCTAGTGTGGGATTTGTGACTTTGAGCGATCAAGTCATTAATAAGTGTACCGATTTTAGATATCTTAGGTCTATTGTTCAGAGTGATGGTGAAATAGATGGGGATGTTTTTAGTAAAATTCAAGTTGGAAGGTTTAAGTAGAGGAATGCTTTGGGTTTATTGTGTAATTGAAAAGTACCGCTCAAGTTGGGGCAGTAGTGAGCTGGAGGTTCTTTTTAAGGACCTTGTAACCGCCTTTTTGAAATTAACACGTAGTCCCCTTTGTGGGTTTTAATTAAAAAAAAAAAATACATGAAGTGTAATTTTAGTAGTAATAGATCTAGTGTGGGATTTGTGACTTTGAGCGATCAAGTCATTAATAAGTGTACCGATTTTAGATATCTTAGGTCTATTGTTCAGAGTGATGGTGAAATAGATGGGGATGTTTTTAGTAAAATTCAAGTTGGAAGGTTTAAGTAGAGGAATGCTTTGGGTTTATTGTGTAATTGAAAAGTACCGCTCAATCTTAAGGGAAAATTTTAAAAGATGGTGGTGAGATCGACCTGCAATGCTTTATGACGTTGAATGTTTGTCATTAAAAGAGAAGCATAATATTAAGTTGAGGGTTGCTGAGTTGAGGATGCTCAGGTGGATGAGTGGACTTACTCTTAGAGACATGATACGAAACAAGCATATCCAAGAAAAGGTTGAAGTAGTGCCTTTATAGTTTTGCTTTTGGCTTATCTGAATACACATTTGGATATGCTTCCTATGCGCCTTTTATTTGAACAATTCCTTTTTGTTGCAACTCAATGTACTGTAAAACCTTGGGAGTTCTTTAGCTCCATCTCCTTCTGTAATTATGCATTATAGTGAATGAAATTAGGTTTTTCATGTAACTCACTTTGGTCTATTGGTTTGGATTTTTGGAAATCAATCAAGAAGTCTTAAGTTCGAGTCTCGCGTATGTGATATGTGGCGAACTAAGTATTAGAATAGATAAATATATATTATTTGTATTATTTATCTTGTCTACCAATACTCTCTTCACACGTGTAAAGGACCTGTGCCTAGGCTATATATAGTTGGCTAGTTTGTACTGTAAAGTAACATAAAAATAATATAGTTTAATTTCATTTCACTGTCTTCTTCATCTTTACTTTCTTGAGTCAAGAGCTCAGATTATGAGTTTCTACATGGTATCAAGAGGCTCCAGGTTCTGACGTTCTCGTCATGGCAACTAACGGCGCTTCGTCGTCCTCCACCACGGCCAACTCCGGTGGCCATCCAACTATTTCTCCATCTCTGAAGTTTGTAATTTCTAATCTAAAATTCTTGGTTCCTCATGCTCTCACCCCAGACAATTTTTCGATTTGGAGCACCCAAATCGCTAAGCTCTTTAGAGCGAACGGTTTTGCTCATTTTCTTGATCCTCAATCTGCAACCGAAAATACAAATCCCAATCAAGATTCGCAAGATTTGTCGGTCACAGATCAAAATCTCGCTACTGCTATGTGTTCTACCATCTCTCCTTCCGTCTTGCCGTATGTGATTCATTTGGAATCCACACACGAAATTTGGTCTACCCTTCATTCTCGTTTTCAAGCTTCAAATCGTTCAAAGGTCATACAGCTCAAGAACGAGCTGCACAACATCTCAATGCAAAATCTGACTATGACTCAGTACCTCACCGAGATCAAGAAAATTGTAGATCAAATTTCCTCAGCTGGTTCTTCAGTCGATTCGGAGGATGTCATAATATACATTCTTAATGGATTACCGCCTGAATATCAGTCATTCACTACTACCATTCGCACTATGTAGAATTCTCTCTCACTCGATAGTCTTTATGCGCTTCTAATTAGTGAGATTCACCTCAAAGCAGCGGCTACAAAATTTCCAAAACCCGCCGATCATTCGGCCCTTTACTCGAACAGGGGGCGTGGTCGTCGCGGTCGCAGCTGACCTCAAAACGACAGCGTCTCATTGTCAAGAAATTCTCAAACGCCCGCTGTAACTTGCCAAATCTGCAAGAAACGAGGTCATCAGGCCGACGCATGCTGGCACAGACTCAACATCAACTACACACCAACGCAAACTTCGTCCAAAACGTCCAATGCTCTTCTTGCCAATAATAACAGCACTACCTCAGTCGACTGGTACATTGATTTTGGAGCGTCATCTCACATGACAAACAACCCGAAAAATCTTGCCTCCTCTACTGCTTATCACGGAGCGGATACGGTAACTATCGGGGATGGAAGGTCGGTCCCTATTGCTCATACAGGATCGGGTATCCTTCCAACCCCCGGCAGTAAGTTAATTCTGTCAAAACTGTTACACATACCCTCTTTATCTTACAATTTACTTTCCATTTCCAACCTTGTTAAGGATAACAATATTACCATTACATTTGATCAAACTGGTTTTGTTTTTAAGGATCGGATGACCAACAGAATTATTCTCAAAGGTCCATGTAAAGACGGACTGTACAAACTTGCGGCTACTTCGGCCTCTACCGAAACTGGTCTCTCGGTCTCCAGAAAATCTGCTGTCGACTGGCATCTCCTCTTAGGACATCCCCATATGCGCGTTCTCCAGACTATCTCTAATACTAATCCTTCTCTTTCTATTTCTCATGTATCTTCTTTGTGTAATTCCTGTAATTCGTGAAAAAAGGACACAAATTACCGTTTGATAATTCAATTAGCTACTCGACTGCGCCTTTAGAACTGGTTCATTCTGATGTGTGGGGACCTCTCCGGTTCATTCAAATCAGGGATTCCGGTATTATATAATATTCGTTGATGATCATTCTCGTTTCACTTGGTTGTTTCCTCTTATGTCAAAAGCTGATGTTACTAATATCTTTATAAATTTCTTTACATTTATAGAACGACAATCGAACTATAAACTCAAAACGACACGTACCAACGGCGGTGGCGAATTCGTCAACAACAGGTTTCAAACTTTCACAAAATCCTCTGGCATTCGTCACCAAACATCCTGTCCATATACGCCCGAACAGAATGGAATCGCCGAGCGCAAGCACAGGCACATTGTCACCACCACGCGTACGCTACTTCGCACGGCAGGTCTTCCAATGAATTACTGGCTTGATGCCGCCAATACTGCCACTTATCTCATAAACCGGCTTCCATCGGCAACCATACAAAATTCATCTCCGTTATATAAAATGTCCGGGATACAACCCTCTTACACTCATCTTCGTCTGTTCGGCTGCGAGTGTTACCCGCTTCTTGCTCCAATTCATCGAACTAAACTCACTCCTACATCTTCTCAATGCATTTTTCTCGAGTATTCTGACACTATGAAAGGTTATAAGTGTCCAAGGCAACTGGAATGGAGTTCGATCAGACTGTCAGACGAATCCTTTCACTATGGATGCCTGGGGCGTCACACTTACCTCCTTCCAATTCCTCTGTTCTCGGTTTGAAATGGACTTACCGAACCAAGTACAATGCTGACGGCTCGATCGCTTGTCTCAAAGCATGGTTGGTTGCTCTCGGAAACCAACAGGAATATGGCTTGGATTACATTGAGACATTCAGTCCTGTTGCTAAGTTACCCACGATTCGTATTCTCTTCACTATCGCATTATTTTACAAATGGATTTTACATCAATTGGATGTTATAAATGCATTTCTGCACGGCGATATTCATGAAACAACCTAAAGGATTCGAAGACTCTACTCATCCTAATCACGTTTACAGACTCAGAAAAGTAATTTACGGGCTTCGCCAAGCTCCGAGGCAATGGTACACTACTTTTACTTCCTATCTTCTTCAACTCGGGATCTCTCATAGCCAAGCCGATCCCTCGCTTCTCTTTCTGCATCGCGACAATACGCAGCTATAATTACTCGTCTATGTAGACGATATCTTACTCACCGGTAATGATACTTCTGAAATCAACGCTCTCATCTCTCAACTTCGATCAAAATTCACAATGAAGCATCTTGGTCTAGCCAACCACTTTCTCGGAATTAAAATCAACACTTCACCAGATAAGTTCTTTCTCTCTCAAAGTCTTTACGCTAACTCAATTATTCAACTTGCCGAATTGCAACATTGCAATTCGGTAGCTAATCCCTCTGCAACAAAACTTCCAGTGCAGATGGATGACGAACAACCCTGCTTTACTGCACTCAACTATCGGAAAATCATAGGTTCTCTGCAATATCTCACCTTGACGCGTCCAGACATTGCATTCACAGTCAATATGCTATCTCAGCATATGCATGATCCAGCTCCATCTCATACAGCTATGTTAAAAAAAATGATTCGGTACATTAAAGGCACACTGGAATTTGGTCTTCCAATTACTCGTTCCAGTTTGATTCTCCACACATACTCAGACGCCGACTGGGCATCTGATCCCGTCACCCGAAAGTCTACCTCTGGTTTCTGCTCGTTTCTCGGAGATAACCTGGTTTCATGGACAGTGAAGAAACAGTCAACGGTATCTCGCTCTTCCACTGAGTCGGAATACCGGGCTTTGGCATCGGCAACGGCCGACGTAATCTGGCTCAAAAAGCTTCTCGCCGAGTTTCGTATTCATCACTCTCCGCCAGTGGATATCTACTGTGACAACACCTCTACTATCGCATTAGCAAATAATCCAGTTTTTCACGCCAGAACAAAGCATATTGAGATTGATCAGAGATTTATTCGGGAGCATATTCAAACTGGGACTATTCGTCTTCTTCCGATCAGTTCCGTCGACCAAATTGCGGACATCTTTACAAAACCATTGGCTACTCAACGCTTCAAGACTCTGCGTTCCAAACTAACAATTCAACCTAAATGTTAGCTTGAGGGGGAATATTAGAACACATAAATATATATTATTTCTATTATTTATCTTGTCTACCAATACTCTCTTCACACGTGTAAAGGCCCTGTGCCTAGGCTATATATAGTTGGCTAGTTTGTACTGTAAAGTAACATAAAAATAATATAGTTTAATTTCATTTAACTGTCTTCTTCATCTTTACTTTCTTGAGTCAAGAGCTCAGATTATGAGTTTCTACACTAAGAGCCGTTTTTTAGTAAACAAAGCGGAGAAAAATATACGTTACGGAAACCACAGAGAAAGTAAAAAGGTTCAACTTGAAGCAAATCCGAACAGCCGGCTCAGTATAATTGTATAAATTAGTATTCCCCTAAAAAAAAGAAGAAGGAAGCCATTTTTAAAAACCAAGGGCCGTTTTTTAGTGAACAAAGCGGAGAAAAATATTCGTTAAGGAAACCACCGAGAAAGTAAAAAAGTTCAACTTGAAACAAATCCGAACAGCCGGCTCAGTATCAATTATTATTCTTTTTCGGATATTCATTAATAAAATTTATCTTACGATTAAAAAATTCTTTGAATTCTCACCTAATTTCTTCTCAAAATATTTTCAATAGTTTTGTTCTTTCTATAACAACCATAAAAAAGCAGCTTCTGAGAAAGAAAGGAAATGGTGAAATTTGACCAAACACAAAGTCATCGTTCTTCTCTTTCCTTCTTCAGCCAGCTCTTATATAAGGCTTGCTTGATAGCCATTAATAGCTACCTAACCAAGCTTTTCTACTTCCTCTCATAATGATTCCCAAACCAGTCATCACCTTCCTCTACCTCCTCGACCTTTTCCAATACACCTTCTGTTTCCTCCTCTATCGCATCGGCCTGAACCCATCCTTTGAAACGGAGCCGACGCCATGGGAGAACCAGGAGCTCCTGTTCTTGTCCCTCAACATCTCCATGGACTCCACTGCCGAGTCTCTTAAGAGGAAGCTGCCTGTTGTTGACTACAAGAGCTTCCTCAAGAAGAAAGAAAAATCTCCGACGACGGAGTGTGCAATCTGCCTTCAGTTCATGGAGGCGAGTGACCAGGTTCGGGAGCTTAAGAACTGTTGCCATGCATTCCATGTGGATTGCATGGACCGGTGGTTGGACCTCGGCCGGCTCAGTTGTCCGCTGTGCAGGACAGCGGTGGTTCCGGCCGAGGCCGGCCGGGGAGGGCCGCTTTCGGTTTTGAAGGTTCTTTTGTTTGGGGATAGTTATTGTAGCAAATGATCGGCAGTCGAATTGTTTTGTTTAGGGTTAATTAAGATTATTGTTGTTAATTAGGGATAATTGCAGCTAATTTAATTCTTTTGTTTTTTAATTAACTGAAAAGGGTTTGGGATTTTGATAATTTTTATTTACTATTTATTTTTTGAGCTCGGTTCAATTTTATTCGGACAAAAATTATGTCAACAATATTTCGGACATTAATAGACATTTTAGGTTTTTGTTAATTCATAAAAATAAAAAAATTCTTATTAAAAATTTTTTCTGGAGCATCATGTGTTTAATCTTCCTATTCCTCTTAAAGGAATGATTATTCTTGACAAAAACGGGTTACCATACATCCGCCATGCTTAGTTGCTATGTTTGTCTGTCTGTTTATCTACTTTTTTGTATGCTGGTTCCTGTGTTTGAGCTGGAGATCTTTGCTTGGGTTGTTTGCTGGGGGTTTGCTGTTTCCGTGGTTCGGGTTCCCGTGGGCTTTTTTTTGGTGGTTCCTTTTTTCTGTCAAGCTGAAGATCAGGCATACTCTTGTAGGTTCTTCTATTGGTTTCACTGTTCATTTTTATTGTATTGCCTATAAATTTCATGTTACTAGGATACAGAGCCTTATGTTGATGTTAATTCTGGAGTGGACTAGTGCGATTTGGTGTAGGAGGTTTTTTCTTCTTCATAAACCGGATATGATATTGGAACCTACTTATGATAATGTGTTGATGCAGCAGCTGAGGATTTTAATGTAGTTTTCTAGTACCAAGATGTTTAATGATATTTATAAATTTTGGATCAAAAGATGTTTTAAGTACTACTTTATTAATATTATCCTTTGGAGTTGTTTTTGCAGGCATTTGTACTCTGATTTGTGGAAGATCAAAGATTGCAATATTCTCAAGGCTAATAGTCATCAGAGTCTTTTGAGGTTTACTTATTTTTTTGGCAGGAAGAGTGTGCTGAACGGGATCAATCTGCTCTTCCTTTTTTGGGTGCTGTCCTCTTGCAGCCCTTGTTTTTGCTTTTATTTATTTTGTAATCGTAGAAAAATGGACCACCGGCTTTTAGGTTTTATTTTGATTTTTTTGTAGCTCTTTCGAGCCATAGCGAGCTGGAGGTCCCTTCTAAAGACTTTGTAACCTTTATTTTGATAATTAACGCGTAGGCCCACTGTGGGTTTTAACCAAAAAAAAAGCCACTCATTTTAAAATACAAACTATAACAAAAAAAAGCAATTTTTGTATTTTCTCACCATTTTCCATATAGAAAATAAAATATAGAAAAGTTCGTGTACTATACAGTATACATTTTTTTTTTTTTGTAATTTAAACCCACAGAATGGGCCTACGTGTTGATCTAAAATAAAGGGTTACAAGGTCCTTAGAAAGGTCCTCCAGCTCACTACGCTTAGACGAGCTACAATCAAAAAGAAAATTAAAACCTACGAGCTGGTGGACCTTTTTTCTATCATTACAAAAAATGCAGAAAATAAAAGTGGGCTGCACTGCAGCAGCACCCAAAAAACGGAAGTTAATGATACTCACATTCAGTACAGACTTCCTGAAAAAATGATAACCAAAAAAGAGAGAGCACAAAAAAATTGCAGTAAAGAGAGGCTTACAGTGATTGACAAAAAAAAAACGGAGTGAAAACGGAGTGGTGATTTTGTTATAAAAATAGAGAATAGGTGGTATTAATGTAATATTTATGAATTAGGTGTTAAATATGTAATACATATGTTATAAAGTGGTATGTATGTAAAAATCCCAAAATTAAATCAAGGATCATTTGAACTCCGATTTCAGCAAACTTATAGTTGAACTAAACGTCTCAAGAATACAAACCCAACGACACCAAATTTGACTCAATTCGAGCCCAAATGGGTCCAAATCGAAGATCGGAAGCACATTCAAAAAGGTTTAAATCATAATTTGGATTACCAAACGGTTTCCGAACATGACATGCTTTATAGTCGAATCGAGTGGCTCGACAAAACAAATCCATCGAGCCTAAGATCGTCAATTTTTGATATCACTTAGACATTCAAATACCAAATAAACTGTCCATGATCTCTCCCTAATATTAATTATTTCTGAAGATCTCTCCATAATATATCCTCAAATTAAGGAAAACTAGTAATGAATAAGGTCCTCACTTGAAAGACTATATGAGAGTATGTAGTTGATAAAGTCATCACTCATATGAAGACCTTAGTAGACTAGAAAGCCTAAAAAAAAACACATGGAGCAATATATCAAAGCACGTCTCATAGATGCATAAACAACTTAATTTTTCTTTAGAGGACATGTTCATTTCAAATGAAAAACAAGCATCAAGCTCATATAATAATCTCAATTTTTTATACAATATCATTGAAGTTATAGAAATTTGACATTAGGTTCAAGTATACATTCATTTTGGCAAGAAGTTGAAATTAAAGTTACTACAAAATAATCCATACAAGTTAATGTCATCAAGAAACAAGCAACTTCAAAAATGTCAAATATCATTGATGGATTCTATTGACTTATTCTCTATTGTATATTGAAGCATCTCCTACAACTTCTTCTTCAAAGAAAGATTATAACATGATCATCATCAAGCATCCACTCAATTGACACTATAAGTGTGTCGCCAAACAACTAACATGGCACACTGCTTTGATCCCTTCAATCAGGGATATCTGATATCCATACACACATCAATATAGATGCATATTGCCTTAACAAAATACAACTAGGCCATCTCCATCATCGACCCTTCATCTAAAGTCTATCGTCAATCCTTTACTTCATAACAGCCCTCATTGGCTTCTCACTCAACTACTGATAACGACACACCCTCCAACTCTCTCATTTAGCTCTCATCCCAGTCGTCGATCGCCACTGAATTTTCTCCTGACCATCGATTTCCATCGGACTGCCACCAGATCATCGATTTCCATCAGACTTCCACCCAATCACCATTCGCCACCATATTTTCACTTGGCCACCAATCGTCGCCAGACTTTCGCTCAAATAGCATCGAAATTCCCCCGTCTACTAATAACCTTTGGTTTTACTCTCAGGTGCTACTACCACCGGATTTTCTCAAATTACCCTCTTATGGAAGAGGTGGTTGATATTCTTCTATCAGTGGTTATTTATTGAAAGAATAAACTCTTATCATGAAACTTGATAGAAGATTCCACCTATCTCAAACAGTGGAATGCCTTTAATGTGAGAAAAAAATCAGAAATGATGAAAAAGGAAGGAGGATTAAATTTTTTTCTGCACAAAATAGAGGCACTAAAGCTTGATAGGGGATGTCACCTATCTTATATGGTGAAATACATCTAACGTAAGAAAAAAAGCTAGAATAATGAGAATGAAAAAGGAAAAATTTCCTTCTACGTACACTAAAGAGTGACATTGAATTTAGGCAGAGGATGCCACATACTAAAAATAATAAAAAGCCTATGAAGAGAAGAAAAGTATGGTAAAAAGAAGGGGAAAAATTCTAACTTTTACATAAGAGAGGGACACTAAATTTGAGCAGTGGATGCAAACTACAAAAAATAGTGAAATGCCTTAACTTTAAGAAAGTTAGAGGAAGAAGGGAGAAGGAGAAGAAGAAGAAGACTACTTTTTCCCTTACCTCACGGGGCTATTTATATGATAAAATGAGAGAGAAAATATTCAAAATTGGGGGGGAGGGGGAGTAATTTGCATCTAATTTGTTAAAATAATTTTAAAAATTCTTATAGAAGTTTTCAAAAATTTTTGGAATTGCAAAAAAAAAAAAATGGAGTTAACTGTGCCCCTAAGAGGCTCTTCATGCTCCCCTTTGCCCGCGTGCCAGTGTGAACCACTGCTAGAGACGACTAACAGCGGCTGGTCGGTCAGCCTGCGTGTTTTATCGACTTATAAGTGTTGCTCGTTTTTTGGCCCGGATTGCCTAAATCAGATGTTTGTTGGGTTTCCAAAACTATTTTTTGATGTTTTTGATACTATCAGAACTCAACAAAGCTTATATAATCAAATTTGAGCAATTTTAATTATTTTGGATGGAAATTTTCCAACATTTTTTGTGATTTGATATATTAAAATACTAAGAAAAGTATTTTTAGACTTTTAGAGTTTTGACATCCAAAAATATTGGCAACTACTATATCATAAAAATTGTCTTGATCGGGCACAAATCTCGAAGCAAACTAAACTTGGGAACTTTAAAAATTAAATTGGGTACCATCTAAACTTTGATTTTAGTAAAGTTATAGTCGAACTAAATGTCTCAAGAATACAAGTTTTTTTTTAGGGGAAACCCACGGAGGGGTCTACGCGTTGATATAATTCAAAATTACAAGTCCTTAAGGGGACATTCAGCTCACTAATGCTCAAAAGAGCTACAAAATATAAAGAAAAGTAAAACCCTAAGAGCCAATTGTCCCCATCTAAACCAATTACAAAATTGCCTAGATACAATCTAAGGTGACACTGAAGAAGCGTCCAAAAAGGAAAGACCAAATCATACGCGTTTAGCCTAGTCTTTCTACAAAAACCCAGCATGTAAGCTGCAAAAATTCTGCTAAAAACACATAGAAATAAAAAAAGTCTACATGAAAAGTAAACACATTAGTAGAAATGAAAGACATAAAAGATAGAGATTCAAAACCTTACCAGAGCAGTAGTTATGCAAAGAGTCTCAGGCTTGACTAATGATGTATAGGCTAACACAATAATTCACTTCAATCCAGTTAGAAATGCCACAAAATCTAATTAAAGAAATAAATAGACAAACCTGATGATCACACCCGCTTCCACAACAAGAAGAATTACCATCCAATAAGCAGAGAACCTTGAAGTAAGGATCAAACATAGTGAAAAAACCCTAGAACCTAATCCACCACATAAAATTTGCACCACCAGCAACCCGCGAAACATTCAAACCAGAGAAAGCAGCTTCATAATAACCCAAACGGGTGTCAGGTTAGAAGTAAGTCTCAAGAATACAAACTTAATAACACCAATTAGACTCAATATGAGCCCAAACGGGTACACATCGAAGACCTAAAACACATTTGGAAGGTTCAAATCATAATTTGAATTACCAAACAATTTTTGAACATAACACATATGCTTATAGTCATAATCACGCCCGTCGTCATATTTCGAACCGACACAAGACTTCTGCCAGTCTCCAGATTTCTAACCCGACACCAGACTTCCGCTCGTCGCCGGATTTCTACTCAAAATTAGACTTCCGCCTGTCACCAAACTTCTACCCATCGCTGGACTTTCGTTGGACTTCTACCTGATGCCAGATTTCCATTCATCTTTGAATTTCTACCTTTCGTCAAATTTTCATCCTTCGTTGGATTTCTTCCCATCGTTGGACTTTCATCAGACTTCTAATCGACGTCATACTTCGTCCTGTCGCCAAATTTTTACATGACACCGGACTTCCTTCTGTTTCTAGATTTTTACCCGATGCCAGATTATTGCTTGTCACCGGACTCTCATCAGACTTCTGAACGTCATTAAATTTTTACATGACGCCAAACTTCTACCCATCATCGCTTCTGCCCGTCGTGAGACTTTCATTGGACTTCTACCCGAAGCAAGACTTCAGCCCATCGTCGGACTTTCGACATCCATCACCAGCTGATTA